TTTATATTTCTTATATAAAATATTTTGCCAAAATAATATTTATTTCGAATAAAAATAAATAAATTCTTTAATATATATAGAGATAAATCAATTTATATTTATATATATATATATATATATATATATATTTAAAATTATTATAATAATTAAAATTCAAATAATTACAAAAAAATAAAAAAAATATAAATTAATTATTTTATATTTAATACTTTATATATAAAAAAATATATTATAAATTATAATATTTTTAAGTGCCATAATTAAAAATATTAAGAAAATAAAATTATTATTATAAAAAAAAAATTTCATAAATACATGTAGATTTTATATTTATCATAAAAAATAAATTGAAAAATTTATATATTATATTTACAAAATAATAATATAAAAAAATTATTTAATAAAAATATGTAATAAAATATTATTTAATAAAAAAAATTATATTATATAATACTTAACAAAAATATAATATAAAAAAATTAATAAATGAAACTATAATAAAAAAAAAAATAAAAAAGAAAGTTTTAATAAATAAAAATTTAATATTTAAATATATATATATATATATATATAATATATATATATATAATATATAATATATAATATATAATATATAATATATAAAAAAAATTAGCATAAACTCATAAACTTTATAATATGTTTATCAATGCATCTTAATTAATATTATTATCTCCTGTTAGCATACTAATAATCTTTCCAATATCTTATTAATCTCCGTCTTAATTTTATTTTAAATTATTATAATCTTACTAAATTTTAATAGTATCTTTTTCCCTTTCAAAATATATTTTTTAAATAAACTCATTAATAGCTTAATCTACAATTTATTTTTATTCAAATTCCTTAATTATATTTAAATTAATTAAATAATCTATTCCTTTAACATCTTCATTATTATTTTTCTTGACCATTGCTAGGCTTTATTTGATTCTATTTTAAAAGAATATCTAATTATTTTAATCACTTTCCCTTTTAATAAACTCTTCTAGTATTAATTTATAAATAATACTCACATAGATACAAAAAGGCTTTTTTTAATCTAATTAATTCTATTTCTAGAGTAAAATCATAAGCCTATTTACTAATTTTCTTAAGTCTAAAATTGCCGAATAATAAAAAATCACATGTACACTATCTGAGTCTAGAATATCCCGGAATTCTTATAAAATTAACTCACATAATGTTTTTGCCTTTTATTATTTTTATAAATCATTATTTATATTTTTTTAATTCAGACTCACTTTTTCTATACAAATTTCCTTTTTTTCGATTTTATCCTTTTCTATATTACTATTATTTGTAAAAACCTTATTTATTATTTTTATTTAGTTCATTTCTTATATACTCTCAGATTCATTAGTGTTAAAAATTAAATTCACGACCTAAAACTTCCTTAAACTGATCTAAATATCACATTTTTCAGGATATAGATTGCGAAAGTTCCCCACCAAAAGCCCATTTAGTCTATTTTTTACTCTCTAATATAAATTCGGCTTCTCATAAAACGGATCTTGCGAAGTAACGAATATATTCTCAACATCTTTATTAAAAAAAGACGTTAAACAATTCGGAGATTTAATTTTTTTCTGAAAACTAGTCTAAACTAGTATATTTTTTTCCAATACTTCAAAAAGCTATTCCTCGATATCTTTAAAAAATACCTAACTGGACGGCGTAAGCTAATGTTTTACATTTTCCTATAAAAATTCGAGTGTATTCTTACATGAAAACAGTAATATTTCTTATGAAAATTCATCTAAAATTTAAGAAAGGAATTTGTGCTTATTTTCATCTTCAATTAATTGAATAAAATCACTTTCATATTTTCCCTTTAGAGTTTATTTAATTTAATTTAAAAGTACAGTCTACCTTTAAATTATTAAACTGAAAAAAATAAACTAAACAGTCTAATTTATCAATTATTGCCATATTTTTAATTTTTCGTCATTTAAAAGGCTTTTTTATGTCCTTAATTAATTTATCATTTCCTATATTTAAAAATTCATTAAAAAAGGAGTTTCTTGACTCTATTTAAATTCACTAATATCGAATATACTCAAATATTTGTATAAATTTTATTAATTTTATCTTAAAAACTACTCATGTTGGCTGTTTTTTTATAATCTCTCCATTACTTTCTATTAGATTTTCAAAAATATCTTTTCATAAGGTAATTTATGCTTGTTTTTCCATAAACTGTACATAATTATAAATAAAACTGCTAATAGAGTCTTTTTTTTGTGGTTTTTTAGTATCTTTATTAATGTCTATAAATAGTTATTTTAAGCTTAGTTCATATTTATATATATATATATAATTAATATTAAAAAATAAAGGAAAAAAAAAAAAAAATATTATAAGATATTAATTTATTATATATATATATATATATATTTAACAAATAAAAAATAAACATATATATATGAAACAAATATTTCATATATATTTTATTTTAGTAAATATACTACTCGGTTCTGGTCCTATATTTGTACCTCCATTATTCTAAAGTGCCGGTATTTTTTTAGGTCTTTTTTTTATTTTTTTAATAGCTTTTATAAGCCTAATATCTTCCGAATATATAATTGAGTCTATGTCTTTAATAAACGCAATCGAAAAACTCAAATGTCAAAAAAAAGAAGAATAATCTATTAAAATTTCATCTTTTAATAAAGACACAAATTAACTAAAATAAGATGAACAAATATTAAAAATTCAATAAAATAAAAATGAAGATGATATTAATTTTACATAAATTGACGAAGAAAATATCTACAAAATTTAACATTTTTATGAATATTCGACTCTAGGTTTACTTATATTCGGAAAAACAGCAAACATATTTATTTCAATTACATTAATATGTAATATAATAGGTAGTCTAACCACTAAATCTATTACTATAGGTTCCATTTTATCTAATACATTCTATTTTATTCCTTTATTAGATAATAGTAATACTTGGATTTGTATATTTTTCTTCACATCCTTACTATTTTCCTTTAAAAATGTCTAAAATACACATAAATTATAAATAATAATCGTAATAATCCGTATAATTACCATTTTAGCTTTAATTATAGGTTCTTTCTTGATATATTTTTTCTAAAAAAATCCTAAAATTACTTATAATATGAAGTTAGCTGATTTTGAGAATTTCGGTAGTTTTTTTAATAATATGTAATACGGTATGTTTATGCATTAATTCCTACCTTTGGTTGTTTCTAAAGCTTAAAATTAAAATAATATATCTACATTGATTTTTTATACTATTTTTTCAGGAATTTGTATTTTTATAACTCTCTGTTTTTCCTCGTTTTTGGCTTTTGGTGAATGTATAAATATATAATATTTACAAAATCATAATAATGATATTTGTGAAAAAATACACAATTTTCATTATTATAGTAATTTCTTTTAATATAGACAACCTATAGTATTTTATATGAGTAGTTTTTATGCTTTTTTGAATGTTTCTTCTTTTCCAATCTAAATAATAGTCCTTAGAAATAATCTCATTTAAATAATTAAATATAATATTAATATGTAGTTCAATATAAGCAAATATTAATCATATTTTATAACTGTTTTTATTAGTTCACCGGTCTTAGCTTTTGCTCTTTTAACAAATAATATTTAATTAGTCTTAGATTATACAAGTGGGATTTTTGGGAGCTTTATAATGATTATTTATCCATGTTTATTTGTTATAAAAAGTAGAAAAATGGCTTATTTAAATAATGGAATAGATTATTAATTAAACTTTCTAAAAAGTAGATGCTCAAATTAATTAATTCCATATTTATTAATTATAATAGGAGTATTTTTTATATCATATACATTATTTATTAAGTGTAATATATATTTTAAATGAAAAAATTATAAAAATAAATTTATTATATATATAATATATATTTCAATGAAATTTACAACAAAAGATATATCAATTTATTAAATTTTTAAATAAAAAAAATGAAGAATTGTATCAATATTCATTTATTAATAAAAAATAATTATTTAAAAGAATCACTATCAAGCATATATTAATGAATTTCTTTTTATTTATTTAAGCATATAGCTTTTTATAAAATAAAAAAATATAATAGAATAGAGATAAATAAATGTGATAAATATACATAAAAATATATAATAAAAATATATATATATATATATATATGTAGATAAATAATAATATATAAACAAATATAATATATATTTATAAATATTTATATAATAATATAAAATATAATAATAAGTGATTAATAATTTTTATTCATAAATATATATATATAATATTATATACTAATGCAATTTTAAAATTATTCGTCTGATAGTTTTTTTTTTTTATCACATTAATAAAAACAACTTTTATTTATTTATAAAATATATATTTATTTATAATATATTTATATTACAATTCAGTTTCTTATATTTTTTCTTAATTTGTTTATTTCGAAACATTATAAATAATTCTTTTACTAAATTAAGGTTTCATAAACAATAAACTATTTTCTTATACTATATCATTTTATTATTTTAAATTAAAAACTGGATGAACTGTCATTATTTTTTATTTTAAATAATGATTAATTTAATGTATGTTTTTTTAATATAAAAATTATATTTAGTTTCTAATAAATAAAAATTATTATATATTTTATTATTTAATATATTTTGATTAATAAACTTTTAAAAAAAAATTATTTATTTTAAAAAAAAAATATATTTAAAATATATATATATATATATATATATATATATATATATATATATTTAAATATCTAAATAATTTTTAATTTTTTATTTTTTTGTATTTTTGTTTCAATATTAAAAACTTAAATAAACATAAGAAAAATAATAAATAATAATGGATTATTTTTAACAATAATAATATATTGAATAAGAATAATATTAATACTTTATATAAAAATCTCCTTTAAATTAATAAAAAAATAACTAATTAAATAATACATAGACAGTAAATTTATCTTTATTTTCTAATAATGATGACTAAGATTAATCTTAATTAAAATTAGAAAAAAATCATTAATTATAAGATTAAATTGAAATTATTAAACTATCAAAAGCATCTAAGCCTATCAGAATAATTAATTCAGCCAAAAACAATAATTTTTTTATCGAAACAAATAAATAAAATACTCAGTAAATATAAACTAATAATATAACATATACAAAATTTCAAATATAGCCTCCTAAATCATTAAATACTAAGAAACTTTAACAAAAAACTCATAATAACTTAGAAAATCTTTTTATAAATCAAGAGAATATATAAAACCAATAAAATTTACAAGAAAATATATAAAACAATTAACAAAACTTATAATAGAACTAAGAAATATTGTAGAAAAGCCCATAAAATATATAAAAAGATGAACAAAACGAATAAAATAATTAAGAAAATTTACATAAATCAATAGAAAAAAATTACAAAAGTGAAGAAATATATTTCTAGGCAGACATAATCCTAAATAATTAGCCATTTTCATTTGCGGAAGGTCTAAAAAATTTATCAAAAAAAGTAAATTTGCGAACAAATCAATTATAATATTAACAATAACATAATATAATATATTAATAGCAATAACTAAATACAATATAATAGTAACAATAACTAAATACGATATAGTAATAACAATAACTAAATACAACATAATAATAACAATAACTAAATACAATATAATAATAACAATAACTAAATACAACATAGTAATAACAATAACTATTATAATTTAATAACCTATAATAATAATAATCCCCGAAATCCTAAAAAACCGAACAGAAGCTAACTTAAAAACAAATTCCAGAACCGAAAACAGCCAACGAAATCTCAAAAAAGAAACAACGAACAATTTTCAAAATAAAGCTTTAAAAATAAAAAACATTCTCCTTTAACTCCCAAGACGACTATATAAAACGCGCCCTGATAAACCTTGGTTATAAAGAAAACCAATATAAACCATCCCTTGATTTCGATATAAAATGGACCTATATTGACACACCTGACGACTATAAATTTCTCCAAGAAAGTCAATTTTTTAACCATTTTAAAAATAATACTGAACTAACGCATAAAGGTCGTCTTACCTATAATTTAAAATATAATAATAATACTGAAAATATAGAAAACAGATACTTCTACCCATAATGCTTTGATTTAGGTAATGAAAATGAAAGACAGGAGTTTATTTAGGCTTTTAATTTCCAAAACTTGATAATTTTACTAAAAAATCACGTTTAGTACTTCAAATCTAAAAACCCATAATTAATACACTAACTTAAGTCGAAAATATAAAAAAATACATTAAAATAATCATTCTTAAAACAAAAACTTAAAAAAAACACTATTTTTGACCTAGAAACATAATATAATCCTAATTTTCTTGTAAATACAACTATTTTATATGAAATCCTTTAAATATTACCCAAAAATCGACTTTAAAATATATAAATCCCACCTAATCTTCAATTTTAAATCCTCGAATATCTAAAAATCCCTTTGCCTTATGAAACTTAAAATTTCGAGTAATAAAAACATTAAATTTTATTCACAAAAGAATACTGGTAGACTCCTTCTGAAAAACTAATATACAAAATCTATAAAAAGTTGGACTTTTTTAAAAAAAGAGACCCCCTATTAAAATCTTCAGGCTATAAAAATATATGGATAATAAAGCCTTCTGGAAATTCAAGAGGTTAAGGTATTTTCTTATTAAATAATATGGAAGAAATAATAAATACTGGTTTAAAACTTTAAGCCAGAATTGCCTAAAAATATATCGAAAAACCCCTTATTTTTAATAACAATCTTTTTTTGAACGGAAAGAAATTCGACATCAGATAATGGGTATTAGTCACTAGTTTTAAACCTCTAAAAATTTATTTTTTTTCAAGTTTTTATTTAAGAATTTGCTCTAGAAAATATCAATTAGAAAATCTCAAAAATTTATAAGGACATTTAACTAATTTTGCAATTTTTAAGCTTCTTTAGAATTCAAAAAAAGACTAAAATAGTGTTTTGTAAGCTGATGTATTTCAAAAAATACTACTTGAGGAAAAAAAAGTTGATTTTTAGGAATTTTTAAGGCCTTAAATTGTTAATTTAGTTATCCAAGTGGTCAAATAGAGTAGTAAAAACATTGTTTAGAGAAAAAATTCCTTCGAATTGTATGGTTTTGATATTCTTATTGACTAATATCTACAACCATGGCTTCTAGAAGTTAATTTGAGTCCTGCTTGTACAGAAAGAACTCCTTTTTTAACTTAAATGGTTGATAATATGGCCTAGAAAATGTTCTAAATAGTACTAGGAGGATCTGAATTGGGAAATATAGAGGGATTTTAGGATAAAGAAGAGTATTATTGGGAATTAGTGTATTCGGAAAATGATAATTGCTTGGGTGTTTAGGGATAAAAGTTAGATATTTAAAAGGAAATGTTAATTGAGAGAAGTTATGTATTTTGGGAAAAAACAATTGTAGTTTAGAAATTTTTGCGTTGTTTTTTGGCGAAAAAAAGGTTAAATTTTTAAAGGAAGAAAAGATGAGAAAAATATTAAGGAAATTTTTAAGGAAAAAAATACAAAAAATACGTTTTTTTAAAAAAATAAAAATAAAAAATTGCTTAAAAATTTAATGTTTTTTCAGGATGAAAATTTGTATGAAAAAATTACTTTTTTTGAAAAAAATAAAAAATTGTAAAAAAATTATAAAGGCCTTCCTTTTATGGAAAATGAAAAAAAATCTTAAAAAAAATTACTTTTTATCAAAAATAATTCGGATCTAAAAATTTTTAAGAATGAGGATAAGCCAAAAATACCTTATTATTTTAAAAAATAATACTAAAGTCTAATTTTTATTTAGAAATTTTTTTAAAAAAGACTTTTTTAATAAAATATCAAAATAATAATTCTATAAAAAAATTAAAAAAAAATTACTTTTAATATTTTGAAACTATTAAAAATAAAAAATAAAAAGCAATTTTAATTTAAAAAAATTTCAGAAGATTTTCAGCTATTAAAAAATACTACAAATTAAAAATAACTCATTTAATAGTATTTATTAATAACAATTACATTTAAAAAAAAATGATTGTTATGGCTATATAAATAGCTAAGAAAATAAATTTACCAAAAATTGTTAAAAAAATATATAATTATAAAAAAATTAATGAATATTTCGAAAAAATAAAATAAATAACTAAATTAAGAAATTGGTCTGCTATTATTATATAAGGAATTCTTAAAATTAAAAAATCAAAAAGAATGTTAAAAAGATATAGAAGATTAAAACTTTTAATAAAAATATAAGTAATTAAAAATTAATTATAGCTATATAAATATATATATATATATATTTATATATATACATATTTATATATATTTTTATATATATTTAGAGTTTTATTCGAATGGTTTTATAAAGAAACTAATTTAGAAAATATTATATTTAAAAATTATCTGCAATTAAGATATATAAATTTTTAAAAATTTGTGTTATGAAAAGTAAATTAAAATAATTTTATACTAAGTCAATTTAAAAAAATAATTACAATTTTGTTAAAATAAATACATTTGTTAACTGTAATCAAACTTAATAAAAATTTATTAAGACATTTTCCCATGGATAATAAAAAAATCTCCAAAAGACTAATTAAAATAGAAATTAATTATTAATGGAAATAAATAGTTTATTTGATAATTATATTAAAGATAATGATAATCAATAATAAAATATTAAAAAATCACATAAACTATTATATAAGAAAACTAAATCTAAATATTTTTGAAAATAAATACTTTATTTTATGTTAAATATAGACTATTATTATATATATTTTTTTAAAAAAAAGAAAAAAAATAACTAAGTTTTATATATTTTTTTTTAAAAAAAAATAAAAATAAAAATAATAAATTATATTTTTTTTAAAAAAAAAAAAATTAAAATAAAAATATTTAAAAAATAAAAAAAACATAAAATTATATATAATTAATAAAATATTTATAAAAATGTCTTCCTAAATAGAAGAAAGTTTAGATAAATATTACGATGAAGAATACGAATAAGACATAAAAGAAGAAAGTGACAAAAGTATAAAAGAACTTAAAAAAAAACTCGAGAAAATACCTAAAAACTATCCTACAGATAATATATAATCTTAAAACTCTGAAAAATAATATTCTTAAGAAAAATTCGAAATAAACTCAAATTCTTAAATAAGTAGTTTTTCTTTAAAAAAAGAAGTAGAAGAAGAAGATAATAAGCTATATACTATAAATGAAAATTAAAAAAAACAAATATAACATAACATTAATAAATTGAATTAAAAAAAAGAAAAGAAAATCAAAAAATTTAATAAAGACTATAAAATAAATAACCAAAACTACCCAATGTAAATTTGAAAATATTTCATAAAAATGATGAATAAAAAAAAAATATTTAAAAAGAAAAAAAATAAAATTAACCAAAAATTCCTTTAAAAAAAAACATTATTAAAAATGAACTTAAAGGAGAGATTTTTGATTCCGAAAATTTAGAAAAAGGAGATTAGGCTATTTAGGAAAACCAAGAAGATTTAGAATTAAAAGAAAAAGAAAGAAAAAGGAAAATTTTAATAGAATAAAAGCAAAAAAGGAAACAAAATTACGATACATAGGATTAAAAAGTACAATTAATACTAGAAAATCACGAGAAAAAATAAAAGGAATTATAAGATAAAGAAGAGTAATATTATCTGAGGGAAGCTATGGAAAAAATACAATAAAAATAAATAAAATAAAATCTCAAATTCGAAAAAGAAGAATCTAATTGGAAAAATATTTTAGAAAAACAAGAAAAAGAAGAAGAATAAAAAAACGAAGACATTAAAAAAAAATAAAAAATATTATAAGAAGATATAGAAAAATAAAGAATAAATATAAAAAAAATAAATTAAATGATAAATTTAACCAGAAATATGAAAAAACAGAAAAAATTGGGATTATAGAATAGGAAAAAACCAAAAAACAACAAATGAAGTATCTAAAATAGAAAAAGAAAAAGAAGAAATATCTAGAGAAAATTAATTCATTTTAGAATAAAAATAAAGAGAACAAAAGAAGTAATGTATATATATATATGTATTATATATAAAATTATATATATAAATATATATATATATTTATATATTTTATTTATTTAATCAGATTTTAAGGATAATTAGAGATTGAAAAATAATTATAAAAACATGCTTAAAATTTTATATAAGAAGGATAAAATAATTTATAAAAAGAAAATAAAGCTTTAAATAATATTGATAAAATATTATAAGAAAAAAGTAAAAAATAAAAGGAAAAAAACTTATAATATGAGGAAAATTTAAAAGAAAGAAATGAATAAGACGCTTAGTAAATAAAAACATTAAAAGTTTAATTAAAATATTTAAACTAAGAAAATTTAAAAATTAAATAAACTCTTTAAAAGCTAAAATAAAATAAAGAATTATGTTTGTAATAAATTTAATAATTAAAAATTAAAGATAATGTAGTTGATTTAGGAAATAATAAATTCACTTCCTTTGGTCTTGTACCTGAAGTAAGAAATTAAAAACCAAATTAATATAATATTGATACAATCGTTGATTAAGAGGAATCTTCATATTAAGGTTTGTTTATTTATATTTATAAATTTTTAAAATTTATATTTATATATTTAAGAAAAGTTAAATGATTAAGAGAAAAATATAATTACAGAACCTACTGTTGTAGAGCTTATTGTAAACAAAATAACTTTATAAGGTTTACAATTAGTTGATGTACTATTTACATAAATATTTAATATTTACATTATAATTTTACTAAAAAGGTTTTTTAATTATTAGATTTCAATGGAGATGGTATATTAAGTATAAATGAAATAACTGATAATATTTGTAAAGAATCTTATAAAAATTAAAATAAAAAAATATATAAAAAATAGAAAAACTTTAATTAGAATTAACTGATGAAGAAATAAAAGAAATGATAAAAATAATTGATTCAAACAATGATGGAGTTATAAGCGAATATGAATTTGTTAAAAATCTAGAAAATTAATATGAAGTATTATATATATAAAATAAAAATATAATTATGTATATATAAAAATATAATTATTTATATATGAAAATATAATATATATAAAAATATATATATATATATTTATCAAGTAATAAAAAGAATACTAAAAAATAATGGGTGAATTAAAAAATATATCAAATCCAATAGTTTTATAGGAGAGAATTTTAGATTTAGATTCACGCTTAAAATATTGTTAAAAAATATAAATTTAAGAATAAAAAGAAAATATAAAAAAATAACCTGAAATTGATAAATATTTAAATTAATTAAAAGAAATAGAAGAAAAATATTAAAAAAATAAATGAAAAAGCAATAAAAAAATTATTTTGAAATTTCTGAATAATTAAAACTAGAATTAAAATGTATAGAATCAGAAAAAGAAAAACTATAACTAATATAAACAGATAGAATAGAGTAAATAAATGAAAATATTAATAAATTAACATCAGAATTAATGAATTAAAGTGAATTAGTTTTAAAACAAAAAGTAAAAAA